AAAGAAGTTTCCCCCTCCTAGAGTGTTTTTTACATGAGAATAGGTGTCACCATCAGATCTCATTTGCTTTCTTTGCCTTATGAGCATACAGTGGATGCCAAGATTGACAGAAGAGAGCCCCACATCTCTGTGGGGCAAAACAAGAGGCATCTGTTGAGTCTTACGGAGTGCCTGCCCAAGCTTTCATGTGTGCCATTTCTCATTGAGCCCTGCCCATGACTGCTACCTTGTCCCTCTTGTGCAAGGAGGAAATAGGGGTCAAGGAGCCTTCTCCCCAGGTGTGCAGACTTCTGTGAATGTCTACCACAGGGTTGTCATCTAGATCTCCTCACATTTGTCTGAGTGGTACTCCAAGTTCTGCGATTATTGCAATTTCCCTGAAAGCCCAGCATGCAGGTGCGGGACATTAGCAAAAGGGATGCAAGTTGGCAATTAGTGAGTGTGGATGCAGATGTTTTGGTAGAAAGAGAAATTAACTGTTGGACTTTCAAAGCCAATAAACCAGATGTTCTCTCCCTTTTTACAGATTCCATTTTGTTTTTAAAAGGGTGGGTCCTTGGTTACCCAGTCACATGTCTTTCACAGTATCTTTACTGGGGAAAAGCATTTGCTGGGTTATTTCAGCGAGGGCTCTAACTCATATGTGGCATTTACTGTTTTAATTTCCTGCACTCACTTATACCATTTATTGCAGCCACTACTATTTTTTTGTGTTTCGCCAGGAGAGTGCTTCCTTCATATATATTGAATCATTTCCTTGTTTTTTCCTCTTTATCGCAAAGAATTTTTTCTGGACTACTTCCTGTGGTAGTAGGGTCTTGTCAAGTCACACACTGGAAATAGTGTGACTCTCCCTTCTATTGCTGATTGTGTCATGATGAGCCTTTTTCTTTTTAAGATTTAAAGAGCCACACAGTCATGGAATTGTGGACAATAACATTAGCAGTTTCATCTGTGTGGGACAGAAGATGGGCATGAAGTTTAATAAGACATAATTTTGGAATCCAAACACAGCCTTAGAAAAGTATAAAAGTCATAACATCCAGCACTGGCCTTTGCATAAAGAAGATCTCAGCAACTAGAATCCATGAATATGTATGAGATAGATAGGGAAAGACACACAGAGACTTGGTGGCAGAGGATTGTATGTCTGGGGAACTAAGTCTGGTTTGGGTGCCTTTCATTTCTAAAGTTGTTGGATGTATTCAGCATGGAGGTGACATTGTTCTCCAGACCCACACTGGGCTCACTGCTGCCCCTGGCTATTTCCCTTGAATTGAAAAATCAAGAAGGTAAATACCAAACATGAAAAGATTGTCCAGTTCTATTTTAATGGAAAGAGCTTGCTTGGTAAACAAAAGCATTAATGCTTTGGAAGGGAATTTATCTTATTTCCTCAAAATAAATGATAGAAGTGAAGTAAGCTACTCATTAGCTGGTCCAAAGTGAGTGTTCATTTTATTCAGAAGGTTATGAGCTGACAGGTCTTGCAAAAGAGAAAATGAAAAAGACTGATAACATATAAATGAGACTTTTTCATGGTACACATGCTTGTTATTTTTGGTGAAAAGAATATAAAAGTGTATGTGTTTTGATAAAATATAAATTTGAACTGGTTAAAATGTGTACATAAGGGAAGAAAAGATGTCAAAATGTTATCAATGACTATTTTGGAAGAGTGATTACAAGTGATCTGGTGGTGGTGTCTCTTGTATGCTTTTTAGATTTTTGCAAATTGTCTACAGTGAGCACATCTTATTTTCTAATCATGAAAAGAAAACCATATGAAACCATATGGCTTGTCTTCTGCCATAGTGTGCAACCTGGCACCTGGCCAGGCCAGCCTTCCTGTTAAGGGGCATCATAGAGCCACTTTTCCTTCCACCACTCTGTGACATTTCAAAATATAGATTAGATGGGGGTAGTTCACTCTAATGTGCCCCCTGGGGAAGGACATCACTTCTTCACAGGAGCAAACCCACCCTCCCTCCGTATGATAGCCTCTTTTTTGGAATAGATACCTTACACCCCATTTGCCATTTTTTTAAAAAGATTTTATTTTTAGAGGGGAAGGGAGGGAGAAAGAGGGAGAGAACATCAATGTGTGGCTGTCTCCCACGTGCCCTCCTCCCCACCCCCCGGGGAACCCCTCCTGCAACCCAGGCATGTGCTCTGACTGGGAATCGAACCAGCGACCTTTTGGTTCGCAGGCCGGCACTCAGTCCACTGAGCCAGACCAGCCAGGGCCCATTTGCCATTTTTATATTTGGCATTTTATGTGCCAGAGGTGCATAAATATGTTACTAGTGAATTTAAAGGAAAGTCAGATAAACAGTTGGACCTTTACCACCACACTTTTAAAGTGATTACTTCTTTAGAAGCAGTTTGTTAATACTGTATGTCCTTGCTACTTCTAAAAAGTTTGGAAGCATTTTAGCACACTCATTAGGTAGATTCATGGTGATTGCCCCAGGAACTCTGAAATGGCATGCTTAGAAATATCATTTTCAGTTCTATAACTGCCTCCAGATAAACACACAGGTCTCTCAGCAGCTCTTTCTTGGCGGGGGTAATTCGCATATACTATCCGCCCTAGCCCAGATTTGTGCTGCAGAACTTAGCAGCAGATCAGCCTCTACATGTCATTCTTCGCTCGCATTTTGCGAGGGCCAGGCTGGTTTCAGTTGTCGATGTAATGGCTGGGAGGCCCCACTTGAAGAAAGCTTACATCTTAAGGAAACTGTGCTTTGAAGGAGAGTGTGGTTATATACTTACTCCCAAAATATTTGAAATTATTCCATTTACCTGAAGTTTCCATAAATGTATAAAATGAGGTATATCTGGTTTTAATTTCCCTGTGATTTTTATTTCCTAGGTAAAGGACTACCTAGTAATAGAACACCATTTGTCTTAGGTATTTCACCACTGGCTTTTTGTGTGGAGAGGGTGTGCAAGCTTTTAATAAGTGGTTTCTGGTTTTTTTTTTAAAGGAACAATGTGATTTTTTTTTTTTTTTAAGCTAACATTCACCGAGCATTTGGGTAACTCATGTAGTCCTTACAACAGTCCTGTGAGGGAGATGATACTCTTGTTACCCCTTTATAGATGAAGCAGTGCAAGGGCACAGAGAAGCCACTTGTCTGGAAGCTTTTGAAAGTGAGCGGTAGCCCTGTGAGTTGGACCTGGGCAGGTGCCGCAGGCCCTGCTCTTAACCTACATTCCTTTAGAAGGCAATGATAACCTTTGTCTACCTCATGCATAAAGCTGGTGGTTTTGATGTATTGTGGCCAGGTTGTGTATACAGAGGGAAATATATCTGTGGTAGAAGTTTTGCTCATCAGACAATTAAACGACAAGTTCTAAAAGGAATTTTCTACAAACGGACTTGCAGTGAAACTTTGGGGCACATCCCCTTAATGTTACCCTCCCTCCCTATCCTGTGCTCTTAGGGCCTCGTAGCTTTAATTACTCAGAGTCCCTGGAGTGGTCTTTGTCAAGGATCAGGGCTCCAGTAACACCTCTCCCATCATGGCAATCAAAATATCTCCAGATGTTGCCAAATGTCCCTTGGGGGAGTACAGTTACCCCCAGTTAAGAACTCCTGCTTTGGATAATATGGAATAAATGTTTGCTGAAGAAACTGGGCTGAGTGTTTCTGGTTTTTCTTATTTTATTGTACCAAACACTGTTGATGGCCACAAGAGTGATGTGGGTGACAGCCCTGCCCAAGGAAGCGCTTCCTGACATGCTCCTGGGCCTCCCAGAGCAGAGGCCAGAACTCTGTCCATGTGCTCCCAGTGCCCTGTATCACTGGCTTTAGGCTTGGGCCTGAGAGCTTTCGTGTTTCTTGGAGGCTGCGAATAGAAACCAAGTTCTTTGTTCTCAGGAACAGACACATGTTTGAGATAAGCCACCTTAAGTATAGAATGAGCATGTGGTAGGCACATCTTCAACTTTGTAAGTCCAGTCCTTTGAATATCTTTTGTAGGAATTAAAACAGCCTGACCTTCAGCAGCAGTCTGTTTTTGGACTAACCATGTTGGCATGATTCTCATCTTTGACTCCTTTCCCTTTCTCTTCAGAAAGGACCTAAGTGTGAAATACCCCGAAGACCTTCCTATCACCCTTCCAAATCTGCTGAGGTTCATTTTGCATCATTCAAACCCTGCTTCTGTTCCCCAGAACTTGGCTAACCCTCCTACCAATGAGTGTCTTCAGAGCGAGGCAGTCTTACAGCAGGGGCACATCTCCCATTTGGAGAGAGAGATCCAGAAGCTGAGGGCCGAAATCAGCACCCTTCAACGAGCGCAAATGCAGGTGGAGGCCCAGCTTTCGAGTGCACGCAGGGATGAACACCAGCTACTGCGGCGGCAGCAGACCCTGGAGAAGCAGCATAGCCTGCTCCAGCTGCACAGTGAACAGCTGCAGGCCCTGTATGAGCAGAAGACCCGGGAACTTGAGGAGGTGGCCCAAAAGCTCCAGGAGTTGGCCGATGCCTCGGAAAACCTGCTCACTGAGAACACATGGCTCAAGATCCTGGTGGCGACCATGGAGCGGAAGCTGGAGGGCAAGGACGGAGCTGAAGATCTTACTCCCCCTGAGGAGGAGCACTCTGACTACCCTGAGCCCTCAGGGGCTCCCTGGTTACTTGGCAGCACCCCTCCACCTGCCAATATCAGCTCCCCGCTGGCGGCTGAAAGGAGCAATGAGAATAGGACAGACTAACCTTTTAAATGACATGAAATCAGAGAAGAAAACTGTACATTGGGAATATATTTATGCAAATTTTATTGAAATTTATTGTAAATAAAGATTTTCTCAGTGGTCTAGAAAATCAACATGAATGTCATTCAGCTTTTATTGACAGGGATGACATCCTTTCCACTTATTGCACAAACTTGGTAACTTTGAGACAAAAACAGTAGCACAGTCCACTTGAAGATTTGTCTGAAAAATTAGTCCATACTTTTGTGGCTCAGTGTCAGAGTTCCCTCCCCATTCTCCTACTGTTGCTATTGCGATGACATACAGGATGAAAAGTTAATTTCTTGACTGACTAGTCAGAAAACTTGAGCGCAACATGGGCTATTCAAAAAGAATTCAATGAGAGGTCATAACTTACTAAGCCAGTTGAGTGTGTGGTTCTGGTGTCTATGCTAAAAAAAAAAAAAAAAAGTAGCTATTATGATAAATAACAGTGAGAGCTATTATGTGGTTGTTCACCAGGACTACAGGCACTTTCACTTTCCCTCCAGAGACCCTCATGAGTGCCTCACTGTGCCTGTGACCCTCACCCTGGCACAGCTACCATACTCATGGGCTGGATTCAAGCTGCAAGCTTCAAGATGTTATCCCTGGCAATTGGGGAGTGGAATAAAGAACTTCCAGAAGTGAAACTAAGGAGAAAGCGACATTTCAGCATTTCAAAACCAAAACTTCACTGGCACAGTAAAAACCTCAGGGCAAATCTGACAGTCAAGTAAGTGATGGTCATTTTCAGGGTCAGGCTCAGAGGCTGAAAATGCAAGTCCCCAGGTGCTCCTGGGTTTACTAGGGCAAAAGACAGCCTAGGTGTATACTGCTGGTTGCAGACAGTAGAGGTAGAAAGCTTGGAAGTTCTGGAATGCGAGGGGAATGGATCAAACGTCCCTACACCTTCCAATTTTTCTTGAGCATCCTTCATTAGAAAGCAAACCTCCCTGATTTTTAAATCGGCACCTTTGGAACTTGTCCCCACTGCCAGCCCGTACAGCCTCTGCTGGTTTCCAGCCTAATTCATGCTTAGCCATCCCCAGTTAGAGGCCAGAGGCATTTCTTCTTGCCTTCAGTTCAAATTGCCTAACTAGCTACCCTCCCCCCTCCCCCCCAAGCTGTTACTTAATGTTTGACCCCCAATTTAGGCATATGCTGCTAAAATAAATGTTCCCTAAGCTCCCTCCTTGGGTTTCTAGAAAGTAGATTAGTTCAACATGCTTTTTTAGAGGAGACGAATGAGGCCATAGATAAGCCACCTTCAGCCTGACCAGGAGGCCAGGGCTCTGATGGTGGTGAGGGCTGGCAGGCAACGCTGAGGGCCCCCTTGGGAGCAACCTACCCTTGTTGCTGGCAGGCCACTCAAGTGCTTAGGGTCAGCACACCTAGGTAAAGCCAGGGCTGGCCTCCAGTTTATTACCAAGGATGCAAGTAATAGTTTACTTGTGATAGTTAGAATGTGCTTACAGTGGTGGGATTAAAAACCTATGCGAGTTCACTGAAGTGTACACAAGTGACATTTTGGAGATGGCAGGCTGTGGAGGCGCGGGCCTGATCCAAGAGCCACTAACTCTTCATCTTTTTGAAAACTAAGTATTCAACCTGAAACTCACTCTCTCCCCAGCAAGGTCCCCCAAGTGCCTACTAAGCTCAGGTGGTCAGGGTGCGTCTAGGGACCCCTGTATATACGTGCACATAAGAAATGGCCTTCCACTGCACTTGATGCTCTCATAGTAGGGTCAGGGGACTCTTCTTCTAGGTGATCCTCTCAGGAAAAGTAAAATCCAATACCCAGTGGGTGGGTGGTAATTTAAGAAAGGAAGCCATCTGTGAAAAGGGAAGAAGTAGAGAAAACCTCAAAGTCCCCTACACCTCCCCTCCAGTGCAGAAAATATTAAATACAACAAAACCAGTTTTCTCTCCTGGGCCAACTGGATTTCAGATAAAAGCCACTGCGTGCTCTGAGAAGCCTGCGCTAAGTAATGCCCAGTGGGGGTGGGGACAGGAAGAGGGAATGCTCAGCATGCTCAAGACCAAAGGGGTAAGAAACTGCTCTGCTACTAGGATGCCTGGCAGCCCTCAGGACGTGTGCTCTGACGTCCCTCACCAGCTCCCAAGCAGCTGCAGTAGCTTCCTTGCAATAATTCCACTATCAACAGGAACTGGTTAGTATTCAATGACTGAACCCATCTAGAGAGAGACGGTGGTGTGTTTCTTCCATCCACTGCTACCAAGCAGAAATCACAACACCCCAACCGGTCAGCCCCAAAACTTAAAACTGACATGATATATCCTCTATGTACACACACACATATATTAGAGGCCCCTGCCAAGTGCAACTTGGGCCTCACATGTCTAAGACCCTTGCCCACAGCCTTGACTCAGCTTATTAGTATAGTCAGTCCCACGTACATTATCCGATATTTTTTAAAAATCAGCAAAAAAGGTTTAAGCACGTGCTTCTGGGGCCTATTTACAGTTCACAGGTTTGTGAGTTCACGCGTTACAGTAGTAGCTCCATCAAGAACAGGCTCAGCTAAACATTCAAGTAACAAAAGCGCTATGGGGCCTTGAACCCCAGCAAGGTGAGGTCTACCCACTGCCTGCAATGGGCAGCCCCCACCAGGAGGCGGAGGGGATGCCCAGGGCCACCAAGTCCTGGCTTAGGACAGCTGCGACCCCAGGACTCAGTGCATGCGATGATGAAGCCCAGCGAGGCCATGCCAGCAAGTGTCAACCCCTCTCAACGGCAGCCTGTCTGTGGTTTCCCCCTCCCACGCCTCTCAGTTGGCTGCAAACAGGCCCAGGAGCCTCTGCATCCCAGCTCAGCTGTGCACTTCTGGGCCGTTGGGGGTCAGCTTGGACTTCCTCTCCACACACGGTCCCTTGGCCGAGTACTGTACCAGCAGGAAGGGCTCCTTGGTCTCACCATCCCCCACGATGCTCTCCTCATCCTCTGACTGGCTGATGCGCTGCAGCCGCAGGTAGCACCAGCAGCCCAGGATCAAGGCCCCCAGGGCAGCGATGGCAATGAGGATGACAATGACTGTGACCACACCGGTGGTGGGGCTGTGGTCCATAATAGACATGGTCAGCGCTGGGGGAAGGCTTCCTCAGCGGGAAGCTCTTGGGGGTGACCGGCTCAGTGAGGCTGGAACTCAGGACGGACACGAGAGCCCTGAAAGACAAAGCAACATGAGGCTACAATGGGGACTGCAAGGCACAGACAGCTCATGAGTTCTCATTGACTCTTCCACAGGGTCAATTTTTAATCAGTTCTGAAGACTTACCATCCTGCCCTCATCCTAGTGAAAAACACGCTGGTTGGCTTTTGCTGTTTCTTTGCTTGTGGTGTTACCAGCCTTCTCCTCACTCACCCTGGTCCACTTCCATTAACTACCTTTGGTGCTTCTGCTACCAGACAGGCAGCCACTCTGGCCTGGCCACAGAGTCTGAGATGTGGGGGGCAGGGGTGTCCACAACCTGTGACCCCACTGCAGCGTAGGTTTGAAAGAGGGTCTGTTTAAGGTGAATGTTAAGGAAGCCCAGTACCACTAGGTGTTCACAAGAGTTCAGGGACTGAAAGCCAGTGCTTCATGATAGCCAGAGACGAGAGATTCGACAGCAGGGAAGTGATTTCAGCCCCGCTCACGAATAGGTGACATGTAGCTCAATCAAGTCTTCAGGAACACCTGTGAGAGGGTGCAGGCGATGATGGCCTTTGCCCACAGGGGTACTGTAGCCTCCTGGGAAGAGCCCTGGTCCACCACACCATCTGAAGGGAAGTGAGGTAGCAAAGTCCTGGAAGATGGAGTCACTTGAGACAAACCACCTGCCCCTTCTCAAGCTCAGCATCTGGCACAGGAGCCAGACCACAAATGGGTCAATATACCAAACACCAATATGACACATGCAGAAATGCCATGCCAAGACAACAGGGGACCAGGTCCCACAATGCTAAACTGGGTAGGGCAGGAGATACCTAGGGAGGGAACGCTGATGCTAAGATGTGCAGGAAAAACAGCTCTTGGGGAACAGCATCTTAGCAGGAACAGCATCTGCTAAGGCTCTTAAGGCTGGAGACAGCCTGTAGGCAAGTGCAAGGAGCTGAGGGCGCTGGTTGCTGAAGCTGGAGTATCAGCTGGTTTGGGTGAAGGCAGGAGGGGGTGTATGTGCTGGACCACCAACTTCTGGCCTCCTAACTTCAGACAACTCCCTCCACTCAGACAACTCCCTCCAACTCACTGAGCCCCCTGTAAATCGGGCTGGTGAGAAGCAAATAAGAGCACAACTGCAGGAAGTGCAGGAGCTGCAAAAAACCCACTCACTGCAGGTGAGACCAGCATCGGCCCACTGAGATTAGAAATGCTGAAGCTAGCAGGCTCCCCTGGGTCCCAAGACCCTGCACTTTATTTCTCATGTCTCACCATAAGCAGAGCAAATAACAGCAACTAACACCCAGGTGGTTATGAGAATGCAGAAAAGCACCAAGTCAGCGCTCACTGAGAGCGAGCTGTTTGAATTTGTGGGTTTTTGGGTTTTTTTTTTTTTTTTTTTTTTTAAGAAGACTGACATCAATGCAGGTAGACAGTGTTGGAAGACGAAGGTTTTCCCTCCCAATAGGATGGAACCTGCTGTCCTTGTGCAAAACAGCTTGAACTAAAAATAAAAATGATTTTTATCCACACTAGGAAGTCTCCCCTCACCCAAGGCCAGGCCTGCCTGAAGGTCAACACCCCAGAGTCTATCTGGAAACCGGGCCGAGGGAAACCTCTGTAGACCCCTGAGTTCCATTTGCTACCATGCCCACATTTGCAGAAGGATCCTGGGCAGGAGCGGGGAGTGATACCCCTGCAGACTGCTCCCTTCTTACCACCTCCAGGGTGAAGAACACTGTCATCACTCTCAATGGGCTCCCTGGTCCACCATGCAGACCCACTGCAGCCCGTGCCCTTGTCTTACAGAGGAGAAGCTTCCAAGTCCTTACAGTGACCTACAGACCCTGGCATGCTGCGTCCCCACGTCCTGCTGTGCAGGCCAGTCCCTCTGCCCAAATGCTCTGCTCCCCTTACCCTTGCTCAATGGCTCTCAATGGGGCAACTGTGCCCCCAGGGAACACTTGGCAATGTCTGGAGACATTTTTGATTGTCTTAACTGGTGAGTGGGTAGTGCTACCAAGTAGACAGAGAGCAGGGATGCTGCTCGAGATCCCACAGAGCATGGTATAGCCCCCTTCCACTCCAACAAAGATCAACAACAGTATAGAGGTCAAGACACCCTGACCTAGTTAACTACAGCTCAGGCAGGGAAGCCTCTGACCCCACAGTCCAGGACGGTTTCTTGGTACTGTGACTACACTTGATTCCTCCCTCCAGGGCACCAGCCTCAGTTTGCAACCCTGCTTTTGTAGCATAGCCATCTGGTTTAGTACCCACCTCCCCTCTCAGACTGTGTGCTCCATGAGTAACTGCGCACCTCTGTGCCCCAAGTGTACAGGTCATCCTTGCCTCTCCCCGGCCACCATTAGGGCTGCTGTGTCCCCCCACAACCCTGGTCAGCCTGTCCTCTCAGCCCTCCAGATGGGATAGGTGACTCCCCCCCCCCCAACTCCTATCCCCTCCCTACCCCAGAGCCTACCAACTTCGGCTGGGTGAACCTTTCCCAACCTCCATCTTCTCTTCCTGCAAGGGAGACCACGTTCCTGCCCTGTCCCACTCCACTTCCCTCTCTCCACTGGACCTCTTGTGTCCAGCACTTGTTGGGGTACCTGCCCTCCCATCGTGCTCGTGGACAGGAAAGGATGTCGGTATCAGTTCAGAAGGGGAAGTGTGTGTGTGTTTGGGGAGTGGTTCAGGGGCAGGAAGTGGGAAATCAAACAATGGTAGCAAAACCTGGGGAGGGGGGACCCCAGGGACCAAACCTGCTCAAGCCAGTGGTCCTGAACTAATGAGGAAACTGAGGCAGAGGCAGCCCCTCCCTACCTCCAGCTCCAAGGGACTCTCTGAGACGTGTGGTAACCCCAAAAGACACTACCAAGTGTCTGTTGCCCCTGACCGGGCCAGGAGTGGGCACAGCCAGGTCTAGGCCCCTCACCCCCATGAGCACAGAGCCAGGTGACCAGGCCATAGTCACGCCTGTCCTCTGGTCTGTGGCCCTTCCCTGAGTGTCTTTGTTCGTTCCTTCATTTACTCAACAAGTATTTCCTGAGAATTCATCTTTGAAAAAATCTGATCACATCATCCCCTGCCAGAACCCTCCCTAATACCAGCAGAGAATCTAAACTCCTTGCCTCCTCAAGCTTTGGCACATCCTCCACCCTCCCACCTCAAAGCCTCTGCACTTTCTGTTCCTTGTGCCTGGAATGTTCTTCCCTGACTGTCCCATGTCTGGCTCCTTCCTATTTTTAGGGACTTTCTTAGAAGGTATGTCTTGGGGGATGTCTTTCTAGACCGCCTTGGCTCCAGATGCCCCTCCACCCATGCTTGCCACCACCTTGCACTATTTCATTTTATTCCCGAGTGCGCTCTGCTACCTGAAATCCTCTTGGGTCAGTAACACGTTTCCTGGCTGCGATCCCCTTCCTGCAGTGGACTCTGAGCCAGAAAGAGAGGGGGGCACTGGCCATCTTGCCCACTGAGGGATTCTCAGCCCCGTTATCAGCACACAACAGGTGCTCGATAAACATCTGCTGAGTGCTCCAAGTCCAGGGATATAGTGGTGAGTCAGAGAAGACCGCATGCTCTTAGGGACCATGGCTGGCAGTCCCCATCCCTGGGCCAGCTCCCTCCCTCCGAAGCCACTCCCAGGACCCTGGGCACGGGTCCCCATGCTGTCCCAACAGACTCAAGGAAGCCAGCAGCCCTGGGGAGAGGACAGGCTGCAGCCGGAGTGCAGGGGTAGGAGCAAAGCATGCAGGCAGAGCCCAAGCAGGCCCAAGCCCACAGCAGGGCAGCTGTCACTGTGAGTGCTGAGCGATGGGGAGGGGAGGCGGCCTCCAAAAAGCAGAGCCCAGAGGAAACCTGAAGCTTGAGGGAGGCCTGGGCTGCACCCCACTCTATTTGCTTTGCCTCTCCTGGGGCTTCCGCTATCTCCAACCCCCATGCCCCTCTGAACAAAGGTATCTTCTGCAAGTTAGTTGCCCCCTCACCCTAATCCAGGAAAGCCCCCAGGTGGGATATGGAGGGCCACCGCTTGGGCTGAGTAGACACATAGGACGGCACCTGGGAAACCTGGCTCCCTCAGAACAATCATCGGACTAGTTAACAGTTATTCCAATCATTTAATTCTTCCAAATTCCCTGCGGCTAACACTGCTCACCATTATCACCACCATTTTATAGATGAGGAAACTGAGCCACAGAGCATTTGAGTATACTGACCAAGAGCAGAGAGCTAGAAAGCAGGATGTGACCTCAGAAAGGGAGTTCAGCGGTGCAAAGGGGAGAGGGTCTTCCAAGTGCAGAGGGCCAGGCCAGGCTGGGGACCAGAGCATGGCTAGGGGCCTGCGGTCTGTGGGCACTCTGGGGGTAGGTGATAGACCAAATTCCCCCACCCGAACCTACGTAGCTGGGGTGTCCAACCCTTGGCCTGCAGGCCTCATGCAGCCCAGGATGTCTAGGAATGCGGCCCAACACGAAATCGTAAATTTACTTAAAACCCCTTTTTCTGCTCATCAGTTTTTGTGTTTGTATATTTAATGTGTGGCCCAGAGATGCCAAAAGGCTGGACACCCCTGCTTAGGTAGCATCTCCATGCCAGCTCCCTCACATAGAACAACGGTTGGCATTGACAGTCCTAGGCTATTTAGATTCCCCCAAACATACAGGGCCAATCTCTACTCTCCCTGCCTCCTTCAGCCAAGGGTTGTCTGAACCTCACCCACTACTACTAGGAAAACAAGCCCTACAGCCCGGCCTCTCCAGCCTGCAGAGGCCACTCTGAGCTCTCCACGCCCTACCCCTCTGCCCACCAATGGGTTCAAAAGGACAGTCCTCAGCCAACACCGCCCACTGTCCTGCTGTCCCTTAGAGGCCCACAGCTTATGTCTTCCCCAATGTAAGGAGAGGTTCCAGTTGTCCCTGCCTCTTCACGAGACCCCCAAACTGAGCCTTAACCCCACTCCACAGGTCACCGCACACGCTCAAGGCCCAGTGGGGCCACAGTCAGCAAAAAGCAGGTGTGAGACCCCTCCTCACCCCACCCCACTTCTTCATTGGCTGTTGTGAACTGTTTTGACGCAGCCAAGCAAACTGCTCCTAATGGCCTGTTTCTCAGTGTGCAAAATGGGGATGAGGCCCTGACCTCACCCACCAAATTGTGGGGGGGGATGAGAAGTGACAAGAAATGTGAAAGCAAAAGGGCCGTGGGGCTACCGGGTTTGCACGTCACCAAGTACCATGCCTTCCTGGGTGCTATAGAGAGGACAATGAGTCCTTAGGATCCTATTCCCTAAGGACTCGCCTCCCAGAAGGGAACAGAGCTTGGTCCAGGCCCAATGCCACAAATATTCCCTTCCTCAGGGACACTTTGCTACTGCCTCCTCACTTAACTGCACATATCATGAGTGTCACCCAGCCCAGCTGGACACTAGCTCGCCACTCCCACCTTCTCCGGCTGTCCTGTTTAGAGAGGGCCAACCACCGCCCCCACCCGAGGGGGTTCCAGCACTGCTCTCTCCCCCAGCAAAGCCATCTGCTAAGTTTGCCAACCATCTTCATGAGTCCCCAGTTCAAAAATCAGAAACATTTCCTGCCCAGTTTATGGTTAGGAACAGAGGACGGTAGAGAGAACGGGGCACTGCTGGGCACAGTCAGGGAGCAAATGGAACATCTGCTCTGTTTCAGGCACCAGCTGGCCCTGGGACCCTCTAAATGTCAGGACTAAGAGAAATGGGGATGCTCATGGGAGACTAACAGAACAGGGCCGTGCCCGGCTCTCATCCTCCCACCCCCACCCTCCTGAAGAGGAAACTCGCACCAGAACCCCATTTCCCCCTGCAGAAGAGGAAGCTGGCTGGGGCAGAGACTGGGGACTGCCCCAAGGTCAGACTGGGTCTCCTGCAGCCCAAGGCTTGAGACTCATGTCCCCACCCAGTGAATCAGCCACTGGTCATTCTCACTGGCTACTCCAGGGTCACTTGGTTAAACAAGTTTGGTAATAGCAGATGCCTGACAGAAGTTGAAGATGATTACTATGTGCCAGACACTGAGCTAAAACACTTCACACGATCATCTCCCTTCAGCCTCAAAACAACTCTAGAGTTGAGTTATTACTATGCTCACTTTGCAGATAAGGAATCCGTGGCTCAGAGAAGTTAAAGCAATTGTCCAAGGTCACACAGCTCAAAATTAGCTGCGCAGGGATTCAAATCTAGCAAGCCTGAATCCAGAATCCTGGATTTCAACCTTAATTATAAAGTGTGACATTCTTGAACCACACTTCCCCACTCCCATGCTTGAAGAGCCAGGGGACAGGTAACTCTAGTCAGGCCCCTCCCCGACCTCCAGCAGGGGCAGGCTGGGTGACCTGGGCAGAGGGCTCGATGCAGGGTACACAGGGATGACAAGAGCCTCAACAGCTCCCGGGTGCTCGGGTGCTGAGAGGAGACGACGTGCAGGCGCGATGCCAGGCGCGCTCCATGCATCCTCTCATTTAATCCTACTAGGCGACGCCTTCATCTCCCCCATTCTACCAAGGAGCTGTGTGTGAGAGGCTGGAAAAAGGGGCTTGGCCCAGAGGGCGACAGCTGGAGAGGGTAGGACAGCTGGAGAGACAACTCTAGTCCTCCTGATGGGGCGGAGGTAACAGGGACCACGAGACCCAGTCATGCCCACGCCGCGCAGCCACCGCCGACGGAACCGGGCACCAAATGCTGCGGCTGTCCTCAGTTTCTCCACCTGCCAAATGGGCTCCAGACCTCACCATGACCCCACCCCTACTCCCGGGAACCCTCCTAACCACCCTGGGGGCTGCCAGGACCCCCGCTTCTTCCTTTATTTAAAAAAAAACTCCGAAGTGTCGGGAGCAACCAGAAGGCGAGGCCGGCCCGCAGCACGAAACTGCGGTGTGTGGTAGGGGACCTGCACCGGGTGCGTGGGGGGGGACACTCGCTCCCCGCAAAACGGCCGCCGCCCCCCGCCGCCTCCTTTGTCCCGATCTCGCTGCAGCGCAGCGGACAAAGAACCCCCGCCCGCGGGCGCGGCCCCCCGGAACAGACCCTCCTCCCGAAGACGCGTCCCTGCTGAATCGCCCCTCCCCCGCCGCAGGGATTGCCCCCCCCCCACGCCCCGAGTCCGGCGCCCCAGCGGCCAAGCGCGCGCCCCCACCCCATTCCAGGTTGCCCCTTCCCCTCCTGCGAGCTCCCGCCCGACCCGATCACCCAGCTCATCCAGCCTCACTCACCATGGCGCCGCCAGTAGCCTGGCTTGATCGCCCCGCAGCAGCTCTGCGGGCCCGGCTTCGCCCGACAGCCCGCCAGCCCGGTCCGGCCGCCGCGCACTGTCCGGACGCCAGAGCCCAAGCTCTGCGGCGGGCGGGGCAGTTTAGGCTCCCGCCCCGGACGGAGGCGGGGCCCCCTAGTGCTGCCAATGGGAGTCCGCGCTGGGACGGCGGGGCGGGGTGGGGTCACGTGCGCGCGGGGCCGGGCCGTTGAGGCTGGGCGGGGCGGCACGCAGCTGGCCGAAACGGGGCGGAGGGTGCATTTGTCCTCGGCCTACGAGGACTGGGAACTCGGTGCTCCCGGCCCCGGGCTGGGAAACCTCTCACCAACCTCGGAGGCTACCCTTGTTCACCCCTGGCTTACAGAGGGGGAACGTGAGGGGCACAGCAGATAAGAATGTTGCCTGGCAGGGGAACTGGCGGAATTCCGAGCCGGGGCCAGACAGTAGGACCCCTGAGTTGAACGTCCTTGCTTGGGACGGGAGCTGGTCATTAACTTGTTCGTTAGTTCATTTCATTTCCTTCCTTCCTTCCTTCCTTCCTTCCTTCCTTCCTTCCTTCCTTCCTTCCTTCCTTCCTTCCTTCCTTCCTTCCTTCCCTTCCTCCTTCTTTCCTTCCTTCCTTCCCCCTTCTTTCCTTCCTTCCTTCCCCCCTCCCCCTCCCTCCCTCCCTCCCTCCCTCCGTCCTTCCTTCCCTCCTTCCCTCCTTCCTTCCCTTCCCCTCCTTCCTTCCCTTCCCTTCCCTCCCTTCCCTCCTTCCCAGTATTTGTGGAACACCGACCATGTGGCCAGTGGCTTCTGGACCCACTAGCAAGGTTCTCCCGGCCCTCAGGGAACTCTCTTTCTGCTGAGGGCTGACGCTGCCGGGAATTTGCAGCCCCTTGGCTGCTTATAATCATGGTTGTTTAACATAATAACCCTGATTAGGCCCCCACCAAGTGCCACACCCTGTACTAACCGCTCAACACATTTTATCAAGACAGCTAGGAAAGGAAGGACTATCCCGTTGTACAGATGAGGGGCCCAAGGCTGGCAGGGCAGAAATACCACTGCTGGTTTGTGATGGAGGCAGGATTTGAGGCCAGGCCTAGGAACACTGAGGCGCCACTTAGTGCAGTGATTTACACTTGCCTACCCCACAAGGGAGTCCAGTGAGAGGACACCCTGCCTTGTGGCCAGCTGGGGCCTCTGAGAGGGTGAGGGTGGGCCCTTCAAGACCTCTGTGGCCCAAGTCCCCAGGTTTACTCCCTTTGGCTTGGGAAGCAGCAGGGGGCAGGTGAAGCCTGTCAGTCTGGTAGCTGGGGGCGCTTGTTGGCTGGAGAGGTATCCCCCAGCCTCTTAGAGGACCCCCTGGGAGAAGATGGAGAATCTAACTCACAAGGCCATGGGTGCCAGGTTCTCCTTACTCCTTTCACTGCAGCCTGGCCCGGCTCTCTTTCCTGCTTCAGATATGCCAACTTGTTTCCCATCCCTGGGCCTTTGCCTGTTCTGTGTCCTCCAGCTGAAACATCCTTCCACTTCATCTTTCAGGTCTCGGCTTAAATGTCCTTCCTCAGGAGGACCCTCTCTGATTTCCACCCAGGAGTGTTCCCTTTGATATTGTCTCCACTGTGCACTGTGAAATTGCATGTATTTCAGTGTGTGTGACTGACTTATGGTCTGTCTCCTCCCCAGGAGTGCATCAGTTTCATTCAATAACATGTCTACAAAGTAGTACCTGGCACACAGTATGTGCTGAATGCATGCATGTTGAATGAACGAACGAATGAATGAATGAATGATTAGACTGCAAATCTCCAGGCCTGGCCCAGCTGCGTCCATGCCAAGAGGACAGGCCCAGATGGTGAAATGGTGGTTTAGCAGGAATGTGGGAAAGAGAGGCAGACAGAAGCCCGGCTCCAGGCCAGCTGCCTGAGGCTAGAGCCAAGTGTCTCAAACAGCTCCTGCTCCCCAGTATGTACAGTGCTGTCCTCAAAGGTTTATGCCCCATCAGCCACACCTGGAAGCCTAGAGCAGCAGGAAACAGGTTGTTTGCAAAGACCCAGTTCCAGTTGGCCTCTGTGGTTCCAGCCTGGATTTGGCAAAGACCTCATTAGTGGCGAAGATGTGGGAGGGGCAGGTTCAGAGGGGCTGGCAAAGTGATGACAGAGGAGGCAGGGATACTTTTGGAGACAAGATTATGGGGGGGGAAAAAAGTTGTGAGGTAGAATATAACATGGCATAGAAATTGAGAGTCAGACTGCCTGGATCCAAATTCAGCCTTTCCTGTTGGGTAGCTTTGGAAAAGCAGCCTAACCTCTCTGTGCCTCAATTTCCTCATCTGAAAAATGGGAGTCACAGTAAGGTTGACTTCACAGGGTGGTTGTGAGCACCTCAAGTGCACGGGCAGCAATCCCGCCTGTTCACTGGTAACATTAATAACAGGATAGGTGTGGGAATGAGCTTGGGCTTCCCCATTTGGCACTTGGGCAAGTTACTGCACCTCTCTGAGCCTCAGGCTCCTCATCTTCATGTAACACACCTCTGGGGTGCTAAGAGGTGGGGGCCTGGGAGTAGCTCACCTGGTCTCAGATTGATATGCTTCAATAACAGTAACAATAAATAATAAACACTGTTTGAAGCACTACGTGTACATGAACTCATTTTAATCCCCATTTTACAGATGGGGAAACTGAGGCACAGAGTGGCACATGTGCACAGAGATCACCTGGGGTCTTGTTAAAATGCAGATTCTGACTCAGTAGTTCTAGGCATGAGAGTCTGCATTTCTCACAAGCTTATAGTTGGGGACCACACTAGGAGCAGTGAGAGGCTAAGGGCCTTGCTTAACACCACATTGCTGGTGAGCACCGAGCTCGGACTCAAGCTCACACAGTAGGCCTCAGAGTCTGGCACCTAACCACCACCCTAATTGCTTGTCCCAGCCCCAGCTTTCTCCCCTACAAAGAAGAGGCAGGAAGTAAAGCTCCCCTCCCTAAGCTCATTTCCTCTCCTGGGGCCTCTACCATTTCCCTCCATGATGACATTTGGCCTGTAGAACCTCCCTGCTCCCAGTGTCCCAGGGGTCCTCCCTGTCCCTTGCAGGGAGGTTCTCAGATGCTCATTAGCCAGAAGATAACTAAGGGCAAGGGATGAGCTCACTCTGGCTCTCTGGAGGCTTGCTGTGGCACAGCTGAGCCTGCCCTATGCCAGCCTGGCCATGTGCCTGCTTCCCTTTGCCTGAGAGGCTGGGATAAGGGAGGGATGGAATAGAGGGGCCTCAGCCAGCCTCATGGGAGACCCCCTCCAGCTGAGCCTCCCCGCCTAGCCCACAGCCACCAGGTTGTGCAGGCATCTACCCTGCAGGCGTTCCCATAAGGGTTCTAGGCCTAAAAATGAAATGAAAACTGCTTGGCCAGTGGGGAACTCCCCCAAGAGTGAGAGGTGACCCACTGGTGAGTTTTGCAGGGTTAGGTTAAGTGGGACACAGAGAACGCATCACCTAGCAATGCATCATACAACAATTCTCATTTAAAGGGAGAAAGCCTCACTTGCTGTTGTGTGGCTTTAACATCTCTCTACACCAGCTTTTCTGAAAACCAGGAGGTTGCAGACCTCAGACTGTTACCGAACAAAAGGACCCGTGGTGGGGGGTGCCCAGATGCTATTACCGAAACGACACCCTCCTTCCTTGGGACCCCTCGGTTGTGGGTCCTTTGCCCGCCGCCCTTGGGATTATGGCTCTGAATGGCAGAGTTTGATGAAAAGGAAAAGGAAATATTTATTCAAAAGTTACACAAGTTTGATTAATGGCTAAATGTCACCCTTAAACCTCAAAATCCCTTCAAAACAACCACCAGCACACACACTGTCCTGCCTTCCCCCCTTTGCCCAGTCAGGCCGGTCAGGGTACCGTCCTTCAGAAGGAAAAGAACAGAAGTCCGGGGCTCGGCTAGGCAGGTCTCAGCCACGGGTCTCAGCACCATCCACTGTGTCGCCGCGATCTCCGGCTCTTAATCCATAACCATGTGGCACCTTCTCCTGGCCCACTAGCAAGAGTCCTTTCTCCCCTCTTTCTTCCCGCGTGGTCTTCACACTGTTCCCCAGAGTCTGTGTCCCCTTGTCTCTCCTGCAGGCCCCTGTCTCTCCTCCCTCTCTCCCAGTTACATTCTGTATAAAGTCTTTGAAACCTTTCTGATAAGCTTTGGTGATATGAAAAATAACCCTCCTTACATATGAGGAATGAAGCTATCCTGTTATTGACATACAAAATGACTCTCAATGGCCCTGCTCAAGGCTCCCATCCCCCATGGCAGCCTGCCCTGGGGTGGGGAGAATATATTTTTCTTGGACACCCCAATCTCTGGACCAAGTTACAAATACCCTTTGAGGGGGCCCTGGCTGTTCCCCATTACAAGACTTTTAGCAATCCACACTCTTGAGCTAGAGTTTAACAATGTGTCATTTTGGGGGGTATTTATGTTTACAGTTACTTTCTGTTTTGGGCACAAAACATTTTCCATTTGTGATAGTAACATATCTATTCCTTTTTAAGTCCATCCGTTAGGGGAGGAAAGTGAATTTAATTAAAGCAAAGTATTAACAGAAATAACTAGCAGTGGTACAGGGAGATGAAAACAGTGGGGACAGTGGCAAACGGATGGCTGAAGTGGGGGACCTGCTGGAGATGAGCACCCCACAGTCTTCTTGCTGCAGAGCCCATCAGACTACCCAGCTCAGAGAGAAAAAAAAACATCCCATGGGCTCTGCGCCTGCCAGAAAAGTCGATCTAGGTTGTCCTGGGTTGAGTGGAGCCTGGACTGGCTTTGGTCTTTATTCCTGGGGTCCATGGTATCAGTGGTATGAGGAGCAGACTAAGGGACTGGGATTTGGCTGCCCAGCCTGAGATGCTCCCCACCCCCAGCCTCCCCTGCCTTCCCATCTTGTGGCACTGACACCCCCAAACACATACACATGTGAATGCATGTGCATACACACATACACACACCCCTGAACCCTGCAGCTTGTTAACCATCCATTCGTTCATTCAGTTATTCATTCATTCAGCCATCTTTATTGAGCACCTATTATA